TATATATATATATATAATGTAAATTATATATACAAGAACAAGACCGTTGCTATTGCTACACTCAATTTGTTTGAGGGTTATCTAAAATGGATCTTGAATAAAATGGATGACACGGATTTGCACAGTCAAATTAGCCAGTTTGGTTTAAACACTTTGGCGGTATAGGTGTTTGAGACGAGAATCCATTTTATTCAATCTGAGCTTTAATACGATGATGAAACAGCTGTTTCATTGAGGTCATAAAAATAACATGACAATAATCAGAAATAATAACACGCCGAAAATAGACCTGATAAAAGCAAGGAAACACCGCAAGAAACTGCTTGCACCTATTTGTAGCCATTTTGGCTCTTTTCCCGAAAGTCTGCCATTTTGTATTTCAGATCTTCAAGATGGAGGTGAGTCATTTTTGGGAGCAGGGGCAGGATATGTTAAACAAATTCTTCTGGCCAGGAACCCGAGTTTGGCACCATCATCGCGTGAGTGGACTACGTTGGACGCAAGGTTACAAATATAATTGGATAATTAAACTTCAACATGTTTTGTTCCTTTTCTCATGTGATCAAACTGACGCAGGAAGTTTGCCGCCTTTGTCAGGAGATTGTTTCTTTCACTTTCTTCGTCAAATTTTAAGGCATCTTGACACAGCCGTGGCACCGTCGAAACAGGATTGATCCACAAGCTGCGACATGTTTGTGAAGACCCGAGTGCGTAGTTCACGGGGTGGCGACCTTAGACTAAGCCTTAGACTTAATTGAGCATTTGTTGATAGCTTTTTGTATGGGAATATAGATGACTCAGTCACGTCTGTGCACTGCGAGAAATCAAGAAGGGAGAGGGGATTTCAACCACGAAAAAGGCAAGCTCAAACAGACACACATGGTCAAACTCTCAGCTAAGATCGTGCCAGGTTCCTGACCATTGTCACTGCGGCCTCTGGATGCAAGCCTAGCCAGCCTACGAAGTGCAGCGCATTGACTTGCGTGGCAGAAGTGACTCAACCCTGGTGGAATGCCAAACAATGTGTTTTTTTGGGTATGTAGGCGCCAGCTTCATGGACGCAGAGAATTTTAGCATATTTTTGTAAGCAAAACGGGATTCATCGATAACAATCGCTAAAAGTCATTTCATTAGACGAAGTGCATTTAGAATCATTGCTGTTATGTAAAGCAATAAAAGTGCATTTTTGCTGATAAACCTGAGAAATCATGGATCACATTCCTTCTATTTTGCTTATGTTGTGTGATGTTATATTATGGTGTTTCACGGAAGGAACAGGTTGCCGAATTTGCATACTCACAAAAGTTTAAGCGCAAAACTGGCTGGCTTTTGATATTTGATTTCACGTCACTTCGTTGAGCCTCAGCGTCGCCCACACGACGGTCTACTACCAGCATGCATGGACAGGGAATGGGCCATGCCCGGCGCCAGTCACCTTCATGATGGCGGTGGAGGGAGGGTAGCTACTCTTCCACCAGGTTCGGGCCGTCAATCCCAGCACCGCAAGGCAGCGCCGGGCGAAAGTGCTTGGATTGTTTTCACATGTTTTCATTGCTGACATTGAGAGATTGCAACTTCTCAGGCTTTTCCGAAGGTGATTGAAGATAGAGTAGGAAGAACTGCCTGGGACTGACAGGATCTTCCAAAGATTTAACAGAGTTACCAAGTCAGGATTTACACTAAAGGTGCTTTAAGTTGCACGTGTGCATATGTGCTTCAGTTTTGGCTTTGCTCATTCAGGAATTAAGTGAATGCTTGTGACGCTTGTGTTTCATTTTAGAAATTAAAATCGGCAGAGCCAGTTCTTTTGACAACGTGTTGCGTGACATGTTGAACGCAACGTTGTCAGAACAATCTGTCTCTATTTTTCTTTGTCTATCTCCATTGCCGAAATGAAATACAAGCATGCGCCTAATTGACGAATGAGCAAAACGAGAAAGAAGCGCGCGTTGCAACTTGGAACAACTTGAGTTTGTCTCTTCCGGCTCTTAAGGCATGTCAATCCGGAGTTTGCAACTCTGTGGAATCTTTGGCTCAACCAAAGCAAAAGAAATTAAGCAAACTGCTCCGTAAACATCTAGTGCTCAGTTTCAGGCACATCTTTTGGCCCTTTCTCTAGCCAACCTTCGGAATGGCCTGAGAAGTTGTCTCAATGTCAACAATGAAAGAAATGATGTCAAACAGCGAAAACATGTGAAAAAAGCATCAGCCATTCCTAGTCCATTCACCTGTTGTAGATCGCCTTGTGGGCTACGCTAAACCTCAATGAAGTGACATGAGCAATATCAAAAGCGGGTCAGTTTTGCGCTGAACGTTTTGAAAGGGCAGCATGCTTGACCCTCGATGAAGCCTGCTTGGTGAACATTGTCCTGGACCTCCTGAGGGTACTCCGTGTGGATACTGAAGCCTGGGACGCCTTTTGCAGTGTGGGTGGAGGTCCTCGTAATGACCTGCGTCTACTTGCGGCCATGGCTCCGTGCACAATTCCACAAATTTGTGCTTCATGTCTTTTGCCCTCGGGGGACGGTCTAAGTCCAGTGCAGGCGACACAGGTGGGGCTGATGTGGCGCAATGCTAGGTGGGTGGTTCATTTGACGGGAGGAGGAGATCCTTCACTGTTTATTGACAGAGACCCTTGGATGCCAGAGACGAGCAGCAGCAGGATCGAGCTTGGGAAACAAGGAGAACGTCTTGAAGCTTGGCAACATCCTGGACCAAACAGACGACTCCGAGATGAGGATGCCGGAGAAGGTCAAACTTCATGAGTTGCTGTGATGGGCGCACCTCCCCAAGACGAAGAAGAAGCAACGGATGCGCAGTTGGCAGCTTTGTACCAAAGGGTTTATGCACAGAAGCTGGCACCCTACGTGGATTTTGCCGCTTGGCTGCCGTTCGGACGAAGAGTACAAAAGAATCAGAAGTTCAGAGCCTTCTTGCCAATCGGGGATGGCTCATTTGTGATGAAAGAGCTCCCAGGACCGCAGAACCTCCAGCAATGGACAGTCTGTTGGAGGGTGTTCAAGAACAGCATGCATTTCGTTGGACATTGCAACCTTAGCTTCATTGCAGTTGCGCGAGAAGGTCATCGAGAAGCTGGTCCTGCAATGGCCGAAGGCCTGGGGGGCTCATTGCCCAAGCAGACGACAAAGCAAGAGCTGAGAAGCTCTTGGACGTCGCAGCTGGACAAGCGCCGCCCAGGGAATACACGGATGATGCGCTTGGACGGCGTGCTTCCGTTTGGTGGCGACGGATGAGCGATTCTGGAATGAACAGGTCAGGCACCCTGCAGCGGCATGGATGGCGAGTGGAGCTCACGGGGCACCCAAGCCACCGGCTGAGGCTTTGGCAAGCGCACATCTTCCGGGACTTGCTGCAGACGGCGGAGAGGGAGATGACAGAAATGATAGAATCGAAGAAGACAGGCCAATCGCGATAGACGAGCGGCGAAGCAAAAGCGATGGGCGATGGGCGGCTGAAAGAGAAGAGCTTACATCCTTCAGGGGCCAGAGGTCTAAAGGTGAGGCAACAGCCGGTCGACAGAGTCTCCGTGTTATTTGCTGAGCTTTGCACTCGGCTGTTCACAAACATGTCGCAGTTCGGATAGCGATCCTGTAAAATCATGTCAGGGCTGTTTCAAAAACATGAAGAAGAAACAACAAAGAAGTCAAAGGACACATCTCCTGGCCAGAAGCAATTTGAACATGTCCTGCCCCCCCTCTCCAAAGATGACGCGCCTCCATCTTCAAGATACCACGCCCAAAACTGTAGACCTTTTGAAAAGAACAAAAGGCTACAATAGCGGCGCGGCATTGGCTTGTTCTTGATGTTTTCATGTTTGATGATTTTTGTTGTGTTTTTAAAGCCTTGGCGAAACCAAAACACATTGGATTAATGATTAATGCGTTGATGTGTGCTGGTGTGTTTTTTTGCTGTTTTACCCTTTGTTTCATGATGTCTCATGTTCCAAGTTCGTCGTGCACACCTTCTGAAACCATGGCTTCCAGACCCATTTTAGATAACTGTCCGAGAAAGTGGTTTTCTTTTTGATTCTTTTTGCACTTCCACCTGCGCAAATCATTGTGCAGGTCTTTAAGTCCTACCAGTCATTTTACATAACCAATTTTTTGGATAAACTTGGAACCTCAATATATATTTGGTAGCAACGGGGATGTTTTTAGACTTGTGCATATTCATCTACCCATCCATGCGCCTACTGTATCTATGTAATGCGGTGAATGACCAATCCATAGCAAAAGAAACAACCCAAGCGACACATCACACCCAGAGACAAACGGAGAAAACCATATGACCAGCAAAAACATTTTTTAAAGAGGAGTAAAGACCCCCGCACGGGCAAACTTGCTTCCGGAAAACCCACGAAGTTTGTGCATTTCGTTTGCCACCACGCAGCACTGGCTGCTCATTGTATACTGGCAGGGTTGTCGCTATATGGTGCCCAGCATTTGCTGATTCACTCTATGTTGAGGCTGGGGGCCTTTTGTAACGTCCCCTTGTGTTTTCTTATTTTGCGGCCGTTGTGTTGCCCTATGTGCGCAACACAGATAGGAGTTTGGGCCGAGTTTGGCCACAGGCCCAATAGACCACTCGCAGAGCGCACCGTGTTGTGCCTGGGCAGGTGATGTTCTGAGGGTGGCCTGGGTGGTGATGGTAGAACAGCTTTCAGGAGTTTCAGTTGTTGATTCGTTGATCACCTTTTTTTCCGCATTTGTAGCACAGCTTTGTGCTGGCAACTCTTCGTGGCGAGCCCGTTTGAATTTATGCCACCGGGCTGCCTGTGGACATACTCAAGCAGTGGCCAGTTGGCGAAACGAACGTGTTATTTGTTTCGTGCAACGGATGTTTATTGCATGTTGCAATCATTCGGATGTATCGATGTGTTTCTTTGAGTGTGGCTATAGGGGGCAAAATCCTGAACATTTTCCCCTCATCGGCTCAAGACCTGTGCTTTGCACGCACGTTCAATCTTACACCATCTTACCCGAACGTCCTAAAACAACATTTCGTATACGTATACACTTCTTCGCGCCGGGCGCCCAGCTCTACTTTTTTCATCTCGTTTCGAGTTGATGAAACATCATTCCGAATCAGGTCACTTTCATGATGCGAGGGCTTCATTTCGCGGTATGGATAGGCTGGAGAATCGCATTTCATCGGTCGGTTTGTTTGGGGCAAATGCAAAATGAAACTGACCCCTGTACCTGCATTGTTTGCATGTTGATGCTTTCAACGGTTTTTGTAGTCGCACTTGACACCTGTTGAAAAAACGCGTTGGACATGAAGGTGCTTAGTGCTCCTTGTTGGGCAGGATTCTCCCTCATCAATGCCGCTGCAGAGAACTACGATGTGAAGGCTTGTGGTGCATCAATGCCCGAGTTTTTTCTGCACGGTGCCAGGAAAACTAGAGAGCAATAATGAGCAACACATGTACCAGGAACAAGAAGCTGGTAGGGGCTCCTGGCATCGCTACTAGGAGCAAGGAGGCTCCTAGGGGCTCCTGGCCTTACTACTAGGAACAAGAAACTACTAGTGAACACCTGGTGGGTATCGAAAATACGCGACCGCAAGAGAACATGGCAGAGAGATCAGAGAGAAATACAGTGCCAGCTGGCCATCGAGTGAGGAGCGAAGAAGCACGCTAAGCCACTCGCTCTTGCAGACAGGGCTGAAGGCACGGGCGCGGAGCGGGCCAGCAGGCAAACAACCAAATGAGGAAGGCCTTAAGGTCAAGCAAACGAAACAAGCCCAGCAGCAGGGCAGGGCAACCTAAAAGGCTTAGAGCCCAAACAAAACATAGCCTTTAAACACATACACCTATCAGGAGGCTCAGGGTGTAAATCTGTGCAATTGTCTCATTTTCCACTCCTTCAGACTTGCGGCATTTTTTGAAGGAGGCCAAGCAGCCTGCCCTCGACGCCAGTACGGAGGGCATTTCGGCTGATAGAGCAAGAAGAATAGGCGATCTCGCTTTTTGCGGTTCTTGAGTCAGTAAGAATTCTGTGAGTCTGGGTATCTCATGTACACCGTTTGGATGCTTGCGAAAAGGGGGGGGCGAACACGTGTCCTCTAGCAGAACTGAGGCGCACCACTTCAAAAGGAGAAGGTTGTGAACGAGAGCGCGCAGAGGATGAAGAACATTCTTGTCGAGAGCATCCTCACAACAACGAACCCTCTTGTTTCCATACAAGGGCCCACTTCTTTGTTGCTGCTACTGCCGTTTTGCTTGTCAGCTCTTGCTATGATTTGTTCATCCATTTGGTTCCAGTTTGAGGGTCGCTTGGGTGGGAGCACGCTGGAAGCAGTCCCGAAAAAGCGATCTGGCTTGGAATACCTCTCCAACGCAACAGCTCCTCTTCAGGAAGCATTCGAGGATTTCAGAAGCAGAACAGCTGCCAAATCCGGGTCTGAAGTTGAAGAGCCAAAGGCCTTGCCTTCGTGCCAACACAAAACTCCAATGCAGGCTGCGCAACCTGAGGTGCCTCCAACAGGGACCATCACTGTCCAGGAGCCTGCAAAGCTGTTGCAGCCTGGGAAAGAGTATTCTGGCGGTGAGATCGTTGTAGAAGCCCTGCGCTTGGCTGGTGTTGAGCGCCTTTTTGGCATCCCTGGGGTTCAGAACTTGGCACTCTACAATGCAATTTGCAGCCCTGCGGAAATGGGGACTGTCTCAGCTGACATGGGCATGGACATGGCTATGCACCTGATTGGGAATGAAGAAGCCGCTGCCTACATGGCTTGGGGCGTTTGGCATAAGGAGAGGCGCTTGGGCTGTGCATGCTTGATTGGCGGTCCAGGTGTCACCCATGCCCTTGCCGGTGTAGCTTGTGCTTTCAGAGACCGTACACCTTTGATCGTCCTAACAGCCGGGGTTCGGGCTGGGGTCGAGCGCTTCCAGCTGCATGATGTGGACAACCTTGCCGTGCTGAAACCTGTGTGCAAAGCTTTGTTCCGGCCTGCTTCGGTGGAAGAGATCGGCCCAGCCATTGCAGAAGCCTGTAGGTCTTCACTTGAGGGAAGGCCTGGGCCTGTGGGAGTTGAAATTGCCTGTGACCTTTACAACAAATACGGGACCTTTGTGTGGGATAGCAGTTGCAGCAAGAGAGTCCAATACTTTGACCCCACACCTGCTCCAACCCGCCCAGTGCCAGCCATTCAATCTCTATTGGCATCCGACCCAATGGTGTCATTCTTGCATTTCCTGACAGCGGAAGCCAAGAAACGGGAACTTGATTGCACATTGGTGGCCGAACCTGGCTACTGCGCTCAAATTGCCGCAGTTGCATGGGAAAGCTCAGACAAGTCCTGGCAATTTCTTTGTCCTGGGTGTGGATCCCGGCCCAGCGGTCTTGCATCTGATAGTCCTGGTGTAGCAGTTCCAACTGCTATTGGGGTGGCACGTGGCCAAGCCGAAGTACCTGGCGTGGTAATGTCCTTTCAGGAAAGCAACGCTTTGATGCCGCAGGGCTTGGAGCTGTCGCATGCCCAAGGCTTGCCGCTTTTGCTGGTCGTGCCTCAAGTGCATGCCGTCAACGCCGTGCTCATGGCTGAGAGCAGCTTGACATGAACACTGTTTCTTTTCTTCTTTTGGTCATGTGACAATGTGTTTGGAGCGCCTTATGTTTGTGCCTTATGTTTTACAGCGACTTCCCATGCATCCAGGCATGGGTATTGCTACATATGTTGCGGGCACCCTGGAAGACCAGACTGGTGCTCTTTCAGCTCTTGAAGGCGCTGCTGCTTTGGAGACCTCGCTTATAGCAGTGCCAAAGCTTGAGGGTGCCCGGGCTGTAAAACAGTTCTGGTCGTACGGGTCTACCACCCCACAGCTTCTAAATCTCCGCTTGTACTCGTTCTTAGTTTCAATGTAGATTCAAAAAGCGTGTCTCAACTAAGGGCAGTCTCAGGACGAGATGCAGAACCTTCCCCAGACCTCAGCGACAAAATTGGTTGATGGGCTGGCAGCGGCAGGGGTAAAACTGCTTTTCTCAACATGCGCCAACCCAGCACAGAAGAGATTGGTTCAAGCGTCCCTTGGCATAGAGTTCGCCATATGAGTGTGCCGCGCCGCATGTTTGGACTGTGTTCTCTTATCGAGCGGAAACTAACTACTACATCATCCTTGTTGTTTTTGCACGAGTCTTTGCCTTTTCTATAGCATACTGTAATCCATGAGACCCGAAATGAAGAATGGCAGGGTTTATATAGAAGAGCCAAGGTTAGACGCAGCTGCACGAGAGAGTGTGGTGAGGGTCGTGACTTGCACAGACTCGCAAAGCGTGGGATTCATGGCCGATGGGGCTGGGAGATGCTTTTCTGGGAACTCAGCGGTGGGAGCCTGTTTGGTAGATGCTGTGGATGCATTTGCCTTGCCAACGCTATCAGGAGTTGGTGAGGCCTGGCAGGACGGAGTGCCACTTCTCTTGCTTGTACTGAGCCCACATCTAGAGGAGCAAAGTGTTGGACCGCTTGCTGAATTCTCCAAAAAAGTCCTCGTGGCAAAGACAACAGGCTCCAACAAGTGGCAAGAGATGCAGGAGCAGATCACAATGGCCACCAAGCTTGCTGCTGCACCTCCAGCTGCTCCTGTGACTTTGCTGTTGCCTCGTGGTGACTTTCTCAGTGCCTCAGACTGTCCGAGAGGCCCATCCTTGTTGGAATGCCCATTGGTGGCTCCATTTCAACCATGTCTGCCCAAAAGACTCAAAGCACCTCCAGTTCCACTTGCAGATCCTGAACCACATAATCTCGAGGCTGGCGCCAGCAAAGCAGTGTCTTTGCTACTGTCATCCCGTCGCCCTTGGATTCATGTTGGTCTTGGATGTGCGAGCCGAGAAGCTACAGCAGATAGGTTGGTAGAGAGATTGGCGGACACCTTGGAAGCACCTGTCTCAAGCACCTTTTCCGGCAAGGGGGTGCTCCGTGAAGACCACCCACTTTGGCTTTGGTCAATAGCAGGTCCTGCCATGCCAAATCAGTTAAGAGAGGTGGTCGATTCATGTGATACAGTTTTGATTCTTGGAGCCCAGATGGGTGAGATCGCCTCATGCAGGCGACAATGGCCTGCCAGGCGAACCAAAGTGATACATGTTGATGCTGACCCCTGTGTTCTTGGAGCTAACTTCTTACCTGACTTACCAGTGCTGGGAGATGTCACGCAATTTCTCAAATTGGTACTTGCAGAGCTTGACGCTCAATCAATCAAGTTGAATCGGCGGAATGCATCCAATGGCAGTGGCGAGCTACATGATCCGACACTAAGAGCTGAACTCAAAGCTGCTCACGAAGCACTTCGGGCACAAATGCGTGCTGAAGCTGCAGAACTCCCAAAAGCTCAGTGTTCCCTTACTGCAATCATTACTGTAATCACTTGTGTTACTTCTTTGTTATGTGTGGGGTGGGTGTCATGCTATACACATATATAATGTGCTCGATGATTGTGGTTTGTCAGGTGGCACTGAGTTTTGCTGAGGTTCCCCGTTCGGGCTCTATGCTGCACTCCAGGCTGCAGTTCCTCCCGGGCAAGCTGTTTTTGTATCTGACTCGGGGAATGGGACTGTGCTTGGCGCGGAGTTTCTCCGTTTGGCCATGCCACGGGAGTTTTTGGCTCCCACCGACTTCTCCTCCATGGGCTTCTTGAATATCTTGAGTCTTGATTCAGTTGAAAGATTTACGGTGATGGCATATATATATATAATATTATATATATTATAGCGCAAATGATATTTTCATGTTTCGCGCCATGCTTTCGGCGCCCAGGTTATTGCATACCTGCAGCCCTGGGGGCTGCGTTAGCAGGACGTTGTCGAGGAGAAGAAGTGGTATCAGTCGCAACGGTCGGAGATGGCTCCCTCGAAGCACGAACTCGTTTTGACTGCTTATTTTTTGCACGCCTCTCTCTCTCTCTCTCTGTCTGTGTCCCTCTCCCTCTCCTTGCGCCAGGTCATTGTGATCGTAACTCCCCTGCCTATACTACAATAACTGCAACTCTCTTAAAATTTCTTTCCGCAGCGTTTCATTGATCTAAGGTGCCTTTCTAATGACAGGTCTTGAAATGGCAACAGCGTTGTCCATGAAGCTCCCAGTCATTTGCGTGATTCTGCGGGACGGCAGCTCAATGGAGTTTCTAAGGAAATGACACATGTGCAACTGATATCAACTGATTGCAGCTGTGCAACACATGAACTTGTAATTTGGAACTGAGAAGATTGAGTTTTTCGTCAATTCAGTCTAGTCCAAGGTGAGCTTGGTATGATTTCGGGCCTTCAACGCGCACAGCAGAATGAAGTGTATTGCACGCATGTCCCGGAGCGTATGGACATGGTGGCGCTCGGTACCTCATTGGGACTCCCATCTCGACGAGTTTCGTCCGATGTGGAGGCCACTGAGGTGGCTCAGTGGGCTTATGAACACTGCAAGAGCGGGAAAGGCCCCGTACTTATTGATGCTGTGGTATGTTACGGTGCTCCATCATTCTATGCTCGTGGTGCCACTGGGCAACAGCCAACTGCTCAAGTCACTCCTGCTCCTTTTGAACCTTTGCCATTGACACGGCTACCTGCGCCGCCTTCTCCAGAGCAGGATGAGGAGGCACGCGCTTTTGCCAAAAAGGCCCTGGAGAAGCATCGAAGCTCAGATTCCTGGGACATTTGTGAGTGCTTGCGCTTGGCATGGGAAGGGTGCCCGAACCGGGTGGATTCCATTCAGGACTGGTAGAAGAAGCTGTTTCAAAAGATGCTGCTCTGCTGAAGTCTTGTCAGTACGAATCAACCATTCAGGTGGCCGAAATGATCAAAGATGAAGTTTAGTTTGTATAGTCATGGTTGGGTACCCACAGTAGGGACAGACTGCACGGCACCAGCTTTGAACACAGGATGGCGAGGTCAGCTGGAGCTACGCTGAACTCATGGGGGTCATCTTTGGTATTTGCGGATCTTTTCAAAAGATTGGCATCAAAGCTGGCGACAGGGTTGGTGTCATCATGCCGAACTCTGCAGCGCACCTGGTCGGGGGTCGGAAACATGTTGCGTGAGGGAGGTTTTGGCAGCCTTTAGAGACCCCAGGAGGATGTATGTGCATGACCATGCTTACTGTAATGCTCATTGACATGCTAAAGGTTTCACCGAGTCTCCAGTTTCCTAGGATGGAGGACGTGCGTTGAAGTAGGCTGAGGCAGTGTCTCCATAAAAAGTGCTGGGTCTGGATTCCTGATAAATATGAACATAAATATAAATAGGTAAATTCACATAACATCAATAGATTTAGACATAAAAAATAATTAACATTATAAATATAATATAAATACTCTCTCACTCTCTCTCTCTCTCTCTTTATGTATATGCATCCATACACACTATATATATACACACATACTCTAGCACATAAGGCTTCAAGGCCTGACCCCAAGGAAATGTCCTAGGCTGAGTTGAAGACTTGTATTCCTTTCTGTGTGGTGCACGAGTCCCTGTCAGGCGCTGCACTACGCAATATCTGCTCCTGGTTTGCGTGCGGTAGCTTTGAATCTGAGCCCTCGACTTCAGCCTCCAGAACTACTCAGGCCAGCGACCTGCTTCCCCAAAAAGGCCAAAAACTGAACACAAAGAGTACATCTGAAGGTTCAATTGCCCCATGACCTTGCGTGAACTTTGACGCACATGGGTATGTTGGTTCTTATCGTGTTGATTTGCCGATGCATAGTCGATTTGCTAGTATTTTTTTGCTCGACCCAACTATATCAATGTGCATAAGCAGGTCCATGCCACCGACGACAGCCAACTCTTGAATAGACGCTCTACACCCTGTCAAGGACATTTTCAATCGCGAGCAGAAACTTCCTCACTCCTCCAAGTGTGCATATGTGTGCATGTTTATTTTAACAACCCAGAACTGGCATGCTTAACATGTACACAGAACAGACCAATAAATTGTGACGAGCTGGCAGGCTTTTGGAGGATGCTGTGCCTTGTGCATTGGTTTGTCACATGGACTCTGCTCAGCTGCTCTCCAAGACGCTCGAGATGTGTGACAAGACATGGCCCATTTTTTGGGCAGGCGGCACACAACAGAAAAGAGTGACAGTGACCGTGCCCAAGTTGTGCGACACACTTGCGTCAGGTGGGTTACCTGATGGATTTGAAGGGCCAAGAAATGTGGCTTAGCTGCATTTGGGTCTTTACAAGGAGCAGAAGACGATTCAGAAACTACGATTCAGAAACTACAGGGGTCCTGACTCAGAAACTCACCCGGTTCAGAAACTGCAGGGTGGGGATGCGTGGGGTGGGGTGGGCGGGGTTGAGTGATGTTGACGTTCCTTTGAAGTAGAAAACGGTAGGCACGGGTGGGGTGGGTGGGGTGGGGTGATGTTGACGTGAGTTTCTGAATCGGCCAGTTTCTGAATCGTGTGGTTCCAACACATTCCAATCGTCATTGATTCAGCACTGCGTCCAACTTTGGTGACATGACAGGTGCTGCTTGAGAACCTCATTAAGGATGCAGCTTCGCTCAAGGTTTGGCCGCAGGTGTCAGACACATCCGTGTCACGAATGCCCTGTGAAATGTACTTTACGAGCGGTACCTCTGGTCGGTCTAAAGGTGTTCTACTTTCTCATGCCATTGTTCACGCACACGCGTTACATTGTATCTCAGAGCATCGCTTCACCTCCAGAGACACTTGGCTTCATGTTGCTCCCATGTTCCATTTGGTGGATGCCTTCGGCATGTTTGCCATAACAGCGGTTTGTGGAAAGCATGTGCTTCTTCCCGGTGCCTTTGATGCTGAGCGCACCTTGGAGACCATGCGCTGCAAAGAGATCACCGCAACGAATATGGCAACATCCATGGTCAATTTGCTCCTGGCTTCTCCTGCCAGCCGTTCGCTCGACGGGCGATTCCCAAGCCTGCGCTTGGTTTCGTGTGGTGGGGCACCTCTTGGGAGAGCATCGCTCTTGCGCGCTCAGAGGCTATTCGGTTGTGAATTCTTCCAATCCTATGGAATGACTGAATGCTGTGGAAAGATATCAATGTCAATGCTGAGTGCCCAACAGAGGTCTATGCCTTTGGGGCAGCAGATGGAGATGTTGTGCTCGTCGGGCAAGCCGTTTGAAGGGATTGAGGTCCGTGTGGCAGACGTAGAAACCGGGGTCCCTGTGCCAAAGGATGGCAAGACAGTGGGTGAGGTTCAGATCCGAGGACAAACAGTCTTCAAGGGCTATCTCAAACCAGGCACGACTGAAGAGAAGGCACACCCTGAGAATTTCTGTGATGGATGGTTCCGAACAGGTGATTTGGCTTATGTGACGCCACTTGGATTCTTGTGTGTTTGTGACCGTCTCAAGGATATGATTCTCGTTGGCTCTGAAAATGTTTACTGCATCGAAGTGGAAAGCGCTTTAGCAAGCCATCCAGCGGTATCTCTTTGCTCTGTTTACGGAGTTCCTGGGCCAGAAATGATCGGCGAGTTGGTGAAAGCTGTCGTGATGGTCAAAGACGATGTGAGAACTCCAAGCACAGAAGAGTTTCAGCAATTCTGTGGCAACCTCCTGGCAGATTTTAAAATCCCTCGCATCATTGAGATCGTGAAGTCCATGCCATTAAATGGCTCAGGAAAAGTCATCAAGAGCGAGTTGAAGAAAAGGGATCAAATAGAATTCGAGCAAGTCGAAGCTACAAACGACCAAAAAGAAGACTCAGATGATATCAATCAACACTGCTATGAAATCACTTGGTGCAGCAACCCCCCCACGGTGTCGCAGGCTGCCTCCTTCGGTCAGTGGCTTGTCCTCTCGGCAGCGGCTGCAGGGTCTGATATGCATGAGGTGTCCCCTTCAGTTTCCACAGAGTTGCTGAATGAGGTATCTGCATGCTTCAGTGCACGCGGTGCCGGAGGGGCTGTTGGGGAGTGCTCTATTGGAGACATGCCCGTGATCTCGAACTTTGCTGGTATCGAGGCACCAACCGGAATCTGTGTGCTGATACCTGCGGGCAACATGACAAAGTCCGATGATGCGCTGGAAAGTGATGCAAAAGTGCGAACTGCAGTCCAGAGTGGGCTTTGCACCTTGCTTGCAGCAGTGCGCGCATCCGAAGCCTTGCAGATTGGAAACATTGTGGTAGCTGCCCAGCACCCTGTCAGTGCTAGTCAGCCAACAGGTGTGAGTCCTTTGCCAAGAGATCCTGCTGTGACAGCATGCTGGTCCTTTGCCCGCGCTGCTGCTGCAGAATCCAATGTTGCATGGCGACTTGTTGAGCTTTGCGGCCATGCTGCTCCAAGAGATGCAGCTGGTGCCATTGTCGCTGAGGCAGAGGCCACACACTCTGGCGAGCCCGGCAGTCGCGCAGAAGAGGTTGCATGGGCTGGAGGTCGCAGATACATTCCCCGACTGAAGCAACTCCAGCAGCCACAAGTGTGCCAGCAGCTTTCACCGGGGTTTATTGGTCCAGAGGGGGATGGCTCCAGTTGCATCGTTGTTGGTGGAACTGGGAGCCTGGGCTGCTTACTGGTCTCCACCTTGATGAAATGTGGCCAGTTGAGTGACGTCGTCATTGTGAGCCGTCGCTCTGGGACCAAGGTCAACTTCGGTGTTGAAGACTCCTCTTGCCAAGTGCATTTTCAAAGCGCAGACGCAGCAGACCTGAAGAGTTGTGAAAGCTTGATGAAGCATGTCCAAACTTCTTTCGCCAAATGCTCGCACATTCTGAATCTGGCAGGCTTCTTGCCAGACAGTGGGATGGTGCCAGCAGCCAAAGACCTTCGCTGGTCGGATTGTGCGCCAGTCCTGAGGCCAAAAGTAGATGGCAGTTTGAATTTGGTGACTGCAAGTGACCAGCTCTTCGACTCTCCTCCACACCTCGTTTGCTTCAGCAGTATTTTTGGCGTGCTGTCCTATCCGCGCCTGGCCCCATATGGGGCCGCCAACGGTTTTCAGGACGGGTTCACCGCGATGCGCGCGGCCCAAGGACACAGCGCACAGGCTGTAGCTTGGGGTGCATGGGCTGAGACAGGCATGGCACATCGGGCAGGCGAGGGGTTCCATGCCTTCTGGGCATCTGAAGGTATGGGCTTTGTGGCTCCAGCTGCTGGGATGGAGCTGCTGTGCAGACTTTTGGCCTCAAAGAGCGCTTTGCCACCCCAGGTTTGCGTTTTTCCTGCTCCTGGACCCTGGCCAGCAGCCTTGTCAAGGCACGTTCTTGCACGCGATCTCACTGAGCCCGAGCAGGCAGACTTGGCGGCTTCGGCTTCGGCTTTGGCCTCACCTGAAAATGAGAACCTGGAGATTGATATTCGAGCAGTTGTTGAGGATACCTTGAGCACGTTGCTGGGTTGTGAAGTTGACGAGGTGCCAATGAATGAGCCCTTTGCAAGTGCTGGAATTACCTCAATGATGGCAGTAGATCTCACAGCGCGAGTGAGCAAGGCATGGCACTTGACAGCTGCGTTCTTGACCTGAAACTGAGATTCTAGCCGGTCTTTGTGCAAGGCTCTATCCATGAACCTGCCTCCCACTTTGGCATTTGAGGCGCCGTGGGGGGGATGCTGATTTCAAACCAAGGATGTAGCTGTGCCACTCGTCATTGTAGCCCCTCAAGCTAAAGAATGCAAGAAAGTAGCACAGATGCTGACTGTGAAGACCTGTAGGTGGTCAGCGGCGAACAGCTTTGTTCGGCGTTGTCATCGCGCCTAAAGCCCAAAGCGCGTGCTACCGAAGAGGCACAGAACGGACAGCTCAAACGATAGATTGATCCGTTTTCATCCAAACGTAGACAGGGCAACCTGGAGAGGGGGAAGCTTGAGATGGAGATTGCCCATAAACGGTTCATGTAGTAGACTGACGCCTTGGTTGGGGCTGTTATTGGTGTTATGGGAGAGGGAGGGAGAGAGGGAGTGATGACGCTGTAAAGTTTCAACGCAGGCTGGAGTGTCGGAAGCCCAAAGAGCGGTTCAAGTGGAGGTGGTGGGTGGTGCATGTGCACTTCCAGGTGCGGCAACCACTGGGTTCATGTTGCTGGGGTTAAGTGACCCTGCAGCAGGCTTTGGAAGGAACTTTGGAAACGACAGCTAGGCGATATAAGAAAGATATATAATATATATAGTTATAAGTTATAGATAGCTAGCGATGCCCATCCGCAGGTGGCCAAGCTGGGACCAGCACAGATCTTCGGCAAATGTGGCAGCGGCTCATCCAAGCTGTAGATTGCATCCAGCTTCCTCCAAAGGGACGGCCTGTTGCAGCGCCTCGTGAGACGAGCCCTGCGTATCAAACCTTGGGCTATTCTGAAGCAGGCTCGGTGACCTAGTGGCTGTGGCACTGGCTGTATGTTGTTGTTTGCTGCTGCCGCGCTCCCACAAAAAGTACAACAAATTGAAACACATGGAAGATTTATGTTGGCAAACTATTCGTTGACTCTTTCCTGCAGGATATCTTGATGCAGAATCGGTTACGTGCTTTGACCCAGCAGCCTTTGGCATGAGCCAGTCAGAAGCCGAAATAGTTGATCCGCAGCAACGCCTTTGCGTGAAAATTGCTTTGGAGGCGATGGAGGATGCAGCAATTTCCAAAGCACGAGGGGCTCCTATCGGTGTCTATGTTGGTGTGACTACAGTGGATTTCACCGACATTGTGATGAAGGAGTCTGGCCCTCCATCTGCTTATACCGGACCAGCCTTAACGACAGCGATTTGTTCCAACCGCGTATCTCAGAGGCATTCAAGTCATGCAAGCAAGTGGACGCAAAATATCAAATTTCTGATGGCCTTGTGTGCACTGATTTCGTTGTTGAGGTCTCCTACACTTTTGATTTGCAAGGTCCCTCTGCATCGGTGGCCTCAACCTTAGTTTTGTTTTGTGGCTGTCATGCAGAACATGATGTGACACCTGTTTGCATTTGTTTGCTAAAGAGCTGGGAGGACACTGCCTGCTCCTCATCACTTGTTTGCTGCAATATGGCCATGGCAGCCTTGCGCAGTAGTGCTTGCAGTGGAGCCTTGGTCCAGGGCGTCAATGTGCAATTGAACCCATATTGGACGGAGGCATGCGTGCACAACCAAACTGGCCGAATTATTCTTTTGTTGTTTGCGTGTGCGCACAGGCACAGACGCGCGCACACACTTGAGATTTTGCGTACGGAACTGAAAGCCACTTGCCACACGCCCACCTAGGTGTGACCGCCTAAGGGTACCAGGACAGAAGGAAATACGAAAACCCTCCAAAGCTCCAACGATCACGAAATCGACGACAGGTTGACGGCGTGTGTGGACGTCTGCCGACCTGATAGCAACCTAACCTGCCTGGTCAGCTAGAGGAGAACGTGATTACCGAACATCCACACCTGCTTCACGGAGTATCCACAGCTGTCTTCGTTGGCAGCAGAACTGTAAACTCCCTGCTGCCACCTGCTGAAAAAGTCCACAGGAAAGAGACAAATCCGTCAGGATCCCTGTGACTCCAAGGGTTACACACACACGCCCCGCCGAGGGGAGGCGAGAAGGCCCAGGCGAAAGTGTGCGCGCAGCAAGACAAACGAATGAGGACATGAAAAGAGGACAAGACGGGACAAAGGTGTGTGTGTGTGTGGCTGCGATGAAAGGGAACCAAGTGCACAGGGACAACCGATTAAAGCCCACCTCATTGTAAAGACCTGGGCGACATGAAACCTAGGTTGAAAGTAGGTTGTGCACGTACATACTAAGTGCTGGGCCATGCGCGCGCAAAAGAAGAAAAGAGATGAGACGACAAGACATGAAGAAAGGAAGACATGAAGCGAAAGAGCAACGGGAAAATGAAAGGGAAACCGAATGAAGGGGACAAGAAACAACGAGACCGAACCTCATTAGAAACACCTAGGTAGACCTCGCCTCATTTAAGTGTAAACGCTGTATCTGCACCTGAGAAAGCGACAGGTTCCAATGAACCTGAAAGTACTTTGACCGCTCTGGTCACCTTGTGCCATGCCAAAATGGCGGGCGACTTGGGACCGCTCTGGTCACCTCATGGCGTGTCCGAAGACTGCCTACTTGGAATTCAATAATCCACCAAGTCTTGACAAATGACTTTGGCGCAGGCCACCTGCGCTCGCTGCGAGCTGCTCTGTATCCTGGCAGGGGATACGTTCGACACACCCCCGTTCAACGGGTCCACAGGGGCCACTCGTCGGGGTCACCCTGGGCTGACACGAAGGTCAGACACACTTCAGAGTTTGCGTGCGGAACTGAAAGCCACTTGCCACCACCTAGGTGTGACCGCAAAAGGGTACCAGGACAGAAGGAAATACGAAAACCCTCCAAAGCTCCAACAATCACGAAATCGACGACAGGTTGAGGGCGTGTGTGGCACGTCTGCCAACCAACCTAACCAGCCTGGTCAGCTAGAGGAGAAAAGTGATTACCGAACATCTCACTTGTGAAGTTGCAGGTGCACAGATTGGCTTCCCAATCTGTTTCATGAGCTGTCTTGGTTGGCAGGGAGAACTGTGGACTCCCTGCTGCCCCCTGCTGAAAAAGTTCAAAACAAAGACTCCAAGGGTTACACACATGACAAGAACAAACGCACAGAATGGTTGGTGCTTGTTCAAGTCTGGCCTTTGCAGCCCGGCCAGCTCAAATCATGACTAATAAGTGCCTAATGTCTTCCAGCCGTTGTCCCTACCTAGCCTCATTGCACCAACTCTAAAGAACGCGTGCGCATGTGCTGCGCCACATTCACCGCCCAACACGCAAGCGTGATTTGTTGACTCCAATCAACGCCTTTCTATATATAGTTGCGTATACGTACACATCATGGTTTGACTGCAGGCAGCTGCATAGTGTGAATTAAATTGACAAGCAGAATGCGTCGCAGAGCCTTTTGTAGTCAAGGCCTCACTGATTTTCACTGGCTGTATGAGCATGCTTTTGACCCGCGCAGGCTTTTGCAGAAGCAGGGATGCTTTCACCAACGGGTCGGTGCCGATTTGGAGATGACCGGGCAGATGGTTATGTGCGAGGAGTGCGGCATCTGACCTGACTGCGTCGGGATCTCCCCAATTGCATATTCATGACCAATGAGCGTGAATGTAAAACACCTTTGTTGTGTATAAGGTGCACCCACACGCACGCACACACACACAAACTGGAATAACCACATATATATATACACATAGATATAGTTATGTATATATGTTTTTGGAATTTAGCTGAGTTTTACATGTGCTTCTCCTTTCTAGGCAAGTTGCATTTCCTGCACACACACAGACACACAGTCGCCTGCGTACAGTAATAGTTCCCGTTCCCAACTAACTGAATACCTTGCTTGCAGTGGTGCATGGAAGGCTAGGAAAGGACCAGCGCGGACACTCTTCAGAGAAAGTGCCAGCAACCCTGAGATTTCAAGGCTGTACTATACTTACACATGCTTTATTTGACATGATTTACCTTTTTGTAGAATTCACTGGCATGGCCAGTCATACATACTGCACATCAATGTTTCACTGCGTGCGTTGCTCGCTCGCTCACTCACTCACTCACTCACTTACTCCCTCACTCCCTCACTCCCTCACTCCCTCACTCACTCACTCACTCACTCTCACTCACTCACTCACGCTCACTCACACTCACTCACAACACTCACATTCACCCACACTCACTCACACTCACTCTCACTCACTCTCAGTCACTCACTCACTCTCACTCACTCACTCACTCACTCTCACTCACTCACTCACTCATTCACTCACTCACTCACTCTCACTCACTCACTCACTCACTCACTCTTTCTCACTCTTTCTCACTCACTCTCACTCACTCTCACTCACTCACTCACTCACTCTCACTCACTCACTCACTCACTCTCACTCACTCACTCTTTCTCACTCACTCTCACTCACTCACTCTCACTCACTCACTCTCACTCACTCACTCACTCACTCTCTCTCACTCACTCACTTACTCACTTAGCTCACTCACTTACTTCTCACTCCCTCACTCCCTCACTCCCTCCCTCCCTCCCTCACTCACTCACTCACTCTCACTCACTCACTCACTCACTCACACTCACTCACTCACTCTCACTCTCACTCACTCACTCACTCACACTCACTCACACTCACTCACACTCACATTCACACTCACGCACACTCACGCACACTCACTCACACTCACTCACACTCACTCACACTCACTCACACTC